AAAGCACTTCAGGCCAAAGAGAGTGCGAGAGCGAGAGAGAGAGAGAGAGAGACAGAGAGAGAGAGTGAGTGCGAGAGAGAGAGAGTGATCAGTGATAACCATAAAAACATCGAATGCTGATAGCTCCAGGAAAGGTTGGGCCCCCGAGCTGTTGCTTTTCGTGCTCCTCCAGCAATTCTTGCAGAAGGCTGTGAAACCTGAGCCAAGCGAAGGCAACTGAGCTCTACATACCAGCAATGGAAACTCAACCTGCAAAGAAGCTCACATCACTGAACTGCCAAGCAATTCGTCCGTGCCAATGCGCCTGGGTCTTGATTCATACCTCAAACCCTGTTGACCCCTGTTTTAATACGACTGGAGGCCATATGTTGGGAGGTGGAGGTCACTCATATACCACATGCATTTGTCCTCCCAAAAACGTCTCAAGAAAGCTCCGGAAAAAAAAAGAAACACGCCCTGAACTGCCTGGAGGGGTTCGGCGGCACCTGGCAGAAGGGATGGCAGGGGCTCTCGGAAAACCCAGGTTCTCTCTACCTTATCATGGTTTTAGTATAAGGAAGAACATATGGAAAATCTTACTGTAACAGTAACAATAAAACATTGAAAACATTGAAACATCTTACATGATGCTTGAATGTTAAAAGCCTTTGACAAAAGCATGTCCGCAAATCCTTCTGGGTTGGTCTTCCGCAAATCCTTCGTGTCAGGGTTGGCACTTCTACAGCCATGAGAAGTCTCCGAATCGCCTGAAGAGCAAGCTCCATGACTCACCAAACGTGAGACGTCGTGAGCGAAGGCTGTCGCGCAGGGGAACGCTTCAAGCTCCTTGTGGCAACAGGAACACTATAGGTTTTGGAGCGGTGCAAGGTGCAAGAGGATGTACATTCTGGGGCAGCAAAGCTTCTTTTCGCAGTTTACGACTGTCTGTACCTTCAAGTATAGCCGTTCGGAAACCTTCGGGACTCCTCGGTAACGATGAGCCTTTTGGAATGGGAAAAGCCGAGACCATGATGTCACTCATCATGTCTGTGCTAAAGAGCCATTTACTTTGCACATTCAGTTGCCACACGCAGATTGAAATCTGAATCTGTTGACATCGATCATATGCAGAACACAGTCAACTGGTCGACCACGTGTCACGGAGCTGCTTTCAGGTGCTTGAGCAAGACAGCGAGGAAGTGTCAAGAGCATGTGCTTCGCCCTTTGCCCACTAACAGTCCAATTCAAACCAATAAGCAGCAACATGCTGGTACCCGAAAACGGCCACCCGCAACTTCCACCCTGAATTCCTGATGCTTCAGCTTCACCATGTGGAACCAGTTGGACATCCACAGCCAATGAAGTCCGACAAAGCTTGGGGTGTGAGACGACCTCCCAGCTGTTCCGACCCCGGAGACCGGTGAACATAGACCAGTCATGACCGACCCATTCACCCCTATGGGGGGGGATCGTCCTCTCTCATTCCACCGCCACGAGCCACGACGCTGAAGACGGCCACCCCGACTGCAGACGACTCCGAGCCGAAGCTCGGCTCTGGAAGCAACTTTTGGTGTTCCAATATTCCACCATGTTCCACCTGTTCCATCCTGTTCGCGCGATTGGAAAACACGTTTGGAAAACACGTGAAATCAACCAGCATCAACCACTCTGGATTGAATGCCAAAGATGCCACCATGTTCCACCATGTTCAATCGTGTTCATGTTCGCCCTGATGGGGCGGATTTGGGGTTGCATGTCTTGGAATTTACCCGGTCGAAAGGTCGGAGATGCAGGTGATCCACAAAGGGTATGAAGGTGAAAGTGCCTCCTCCTTCTTCTTCCGATTGTACTCTGATTCACCCGGCTGATTCCTCTTGGTCTTCTTCCTTGGGCCGGAGGCGGGTACGCGAAGCGGGAGCGTTGCCTATACAGAAAAGGAGCGTTCTGAACACATTTGGACAATAAACAACAATCAAAGATCACACTCAGACTCACATCGAAGTGGAGTTCACCACGTCTTCATTGAAAGTGGTCTGCCTTTCGGGGCAATGCCATCCACGTAACCATGTGATGTGTTCATCAGAGTGGCTCTCCGGTCACTTATGATTTCGACTCTCCGGTCACTCCCAAACTTCGCAAAGATGGGATGAATCCTTTCATTCAAACGAAGTGCCTGCATGACATTTTATGTATTGCATGTTTAATGTTCTACCGGTGGGTGTTTTCCAGTGTTTGAAAGCACTTGTTTAGTATATCATACAGAGGTGTTGAGGGTAACTCTTGAGGGCTTGTTCAAGCTCCTCCCTCCAACAAAGCCCTGGTGAGGCCGACGTGTAGCTTGCGTAGCTGAAACTATGCCAAGGCGATTTGGAGACCGTTGAATCATACGAAAGCTTCCAGTTCAGTTAGCCGCTTCTGCAACATTACTGTAGTAGCCTCCATCTATAATGTGGCTGGCCCCCTCTTTGAAGCGATCACAGCGGCTTCAGTCCCAGCTTGCTTCAATCGACTTAGACACAAGACACGAGACACTCGATCTGGCTTCACTCGAATGCAGTTCGCACGTTCCCAAGCTCCCATCGGTTTCCTTGCATGGTCTTGACAAACCCCTGGGGCTCCAACGGTTGGGGTGGGTTTGGGGGGTCTAACCACCGAACCTGAGGATATGGTTGGAGCCCTAGGGAACAGTGGTCCGTATGTTCGCATGACATATCATGACATACCCAAACACCCCATGGGACTGGAATCGTCTAATTATAATTAGTTGTCAGGATGACATTAGGTGAGGCTAATGCAGGTAACTATTCCAGTCCCGTGGAGTGTTGGGTACTTGGTATGTTTGTCAAAACATGGCTATTGTTGGCGCTTTCGGCAAGATGAGCCCCTCCATCCGACGCCACTGAGCCCCGGACTTCCGTGGAAGGGAGAAGATGTCTGAGCACAAAAAAGAGCTGCTTCTTTTCAATCACTCTCACGGAGACGACTGGATTGGATTGGGACATTTTACACAAGGAAACTGCTGGAAACATGTTCAGGTGTTCTCCCAACGTTCCACCCTGTTACGACGAGTTTTTGAACATGAAAAACATCAATCCCGAGAATGGTTGAAGGTTACCCACTGACTGGGTATGTTCTTGAGAAAAGTGAGGCTGTGCAAGATTCTTCCGAGAAACATGAGGTGTAGGATTGCAAACAAACACACAGGTGACGCATGTCACGCGCTACATCGAATCTTGCTCCAAAACGAAAGTCGGGCACAAGCACAACAGGTTCCATGCCCAGCTTCCTTGCTGAATGTGTGTGTGCGCCTCCCTTGGCCCACAGCTAATGCCAGATCATGCCACAAACAACCCAACTAAAGTCGCCTGGAGTTTTCATGGAGACTGAGAAGGTGCCCTAGGGATCCAGTCGTACCTTCTCAGGTATGGTGATGTGTTCGACAACGCGACATGTAGGTGCCGGCCCGTCGGGTCCAGTCGTACCGAACCTGAGGTTCGGTACGACTGGATCCCTAGGGGTGATGTGTTCGACACATCACCTTATAGGTTTGGAGGGTCCGAAGACTCGCACCGGTTCCCAGGTCGGTACGGTGGATCAGTGGATCCGTGATGATCATGAAACCCAATCCAACATATACCCGTTAGGGCTCCAACCACCTCCTGAGAAGGTGGGGTGGGTGGGTGGGTCGAATACCAGCGAACCTGAGGATATGGGCCACGAGCCCAAGGGATAGTAGGTTGAGAGTCGATGGCGCAATCCCAAGGTTCGGGACGTTTTCTGGGTCCCCATCCATCCAAGACCTCTTGGGGTGCCAGTGGCACCGAACCTCTGAAACCACTGTACCAAAACAGAAATGGCTGGACCCGAATACGATCAGGGCACTAATAGTGACTTTCGATGGATTTTTTCTCTTCCATGATGACTTCAAGAAGGCCTTCAGGGCAGTCGTTTTCACATCACAACCAATCACCCTGTTCTAGTCGACTAGAACCGGTTCGGCACATGGCATTCTTCGCTGCCTCCACGAATGCCCCTTCTCGGCATGGCGGGTGTCTCGGCTAAGTGACAGATATGCAGTTGATTATCTGGTCACAAGGTTGATTCCAGTTAAGTGACAAATACCGTAATCCACATCCTTCAATCTTAGTAGGTGATCTTTGTGCTTGTTTTTCCGGTTGATTCCAGTCCTATTGTTCTTTCATGGGAGTCAACATTCCCACGACTCTGCTCCTTGTGTGCGTGTGACTACTATTACTACAGTTTTGTCTGTTGCTTGGTAGTTCATTGCTTGGTTTCATCATCATGGTACATGACTTTGCCGTCGCTGCTGTGTTCTCTGTACGTTCACTTGGTGATTGTTTGGCTTCTTTTCCATGCGAAGTTCCCAAGAGCAATGCTTTTATCTTTGTCGAGCCTTCACTCTAAGAATGCTCTAAAACTCAATGTTGATCTAGCCAATAACACCCCTGATCGACAATCAGATTATCCAAATGGTGCAAGGAGCCTATGTTTACATGACTAAAAAAACAAATCACGCGCTCTGAAAAAAGATCCTCAGGCTCATCCACTGCGAATGGCCCCCGTGACGTTGTTGTTTGAACTTCAGTTACCCGCAGGCCGGCAGGAAAAGAAGCAAAACAAAAGCCAAGACACTGGCTTGCAAAGGACGACATCAAATGAGTAGTCTTTCTCTGACCTTTTCACACATATTAGGCGGTAACCAGGAAGACTCGGGGCCTGTGCCGAATCAATACTGCAACAAATTTGTTACAAGAACAGCTAGTCTTTCTCTGAACATACATTATCCAGGAGTTTGAAACATCCAAGGAGCCTTGGGGTGTCCATTATCCACTCACTGGATGGGACGAGCCACACCCAACTCCATGTGCCTCCTGGACAATTGATCTGTTTCAACTTCATCCCATAATTAATCCCATACACACAAAATAAGAAGCTACTAGGTGGAGGCCATTGCTATTGGGTTGGAGGCCATTACTATACTCGTAACAAGAAGTTTCAGCCACTCGAGTGACATCACCAGTCGCCGCCTCCCTGCTCTCCTCTTCCTCACCGCAACCGCGCCGCGCTCGGCCGCCCTTTCCGCGTCGCGTCGGTCCGCTCAGTCCGTCCCATCGCTCTTCCTGGGAGAGGCGGGGAGACACGGGCGCCGCCGTGACCGGAACACGTCCCAAACGACGGAAACGGAACGACGTCGTACTTGCGGATGGCCTCCACCCGTCGTAGCAAACTTAAAGTAAAGTCTGTCCTTTTCGCCTCCACCATGGGACTGGGCGGGGTCTGGAAGACCTTTGCCTTCCCGTTTGTTTGAAGAAACAATCGTTGCTATAGTAGCTTCTGTTCCTTTTGTAGCAATGGCCTCGAACCTAATAGCCTAATAGCAATGGCGATGCACTTAGTAGCTTCTTGTTCCAACACGGAAGTGGGACTGGAATAGTTGCAAAACATGGATGCCACATGAACATGTCACTCTTCCAGTCCCAATATGGAGTGCTTGCGATAACAAGACTTCGGTTTGCAGTGCCAAATCCGTAAAGCCAGTTCCTTGCGAGGAACGGCCAATACCGAGGTTTACCTGAGGTTTAGCGGCTGGTACCGGATCTGCCACCGAAGCCTCCTGGTTCGGAAGCTCCTGGAACCTCCTGGCGCCTAGCCTAAGCCTATACGTAAAATGGTCTCCAATCACCATACCTACTAAGCCTACATAGCGATGGCCTCCACCCATCATACCGTTTCGACCGTGGATCCCTTCTATCCACCGAACCCACGGATCCGGAGGTTCGGATCACCACCGGCCATACCTGCGAGCTCCGTTGCGGCCCTTTGGGGGGTCGGTAGTTCAACATATCCCGTTTGGGCTCCTGGCCCATCTCCTCAGGTTCGGTGGTTTGACCCCCCTGGCACCCGCCCCAACCATCTTCAAAACGGAGGTGGTTGGAGCCCTAGGGTATATACCTGAACCTTCTTTCGGGGTGTCCTGTGTGGAGGTCCCGGACGGTAGTGGGCTGGGGCGAAACCAGCCAGGTGACCCCGACATGAAGGTGCTGGTACCTTTAGGTCTGTGAACTATGAACCATCCGCAACCAAAATAAACATCCGCTGACGAAAAAAAAGCATGTGGCTCACCAATAAACGCCCTTAGCGCTTGTTTTGTGTATAAGCGCCCATGGAATATCAGAACAAAACGGAAAACTAAACAAACATCCGCAGACTCAAATATAAGGCTGTGACTCCAAAACATGTTTTTCATGCTGCAGATCGGGAAAAAAAGCACTCTTTTTGGATGTTCCAGGTTATTTTCTCCACAGACCAGGTCCTAGCCCAGGTCTCTCAACCTCTCTTGGAGATGAATTTCGACCGTTCTTTGTGACACTTGAGAGACCACGTGTACGTCAAGTCGTACATTCAGCGTTCAGGAAAAAGGGTGGATCCGTGGATTTTTAGGGAGAGTATTCGAACATCTTCCAATACTAACCTTCAAAGACTAAGAACCGTTGATCTGATCATCTGGTTTTGTAGTGTAAAAACACGTAGTAAAACAATGCTTCTTCGGGATTCAGGCTAACAAATTGGTGCTGCACTGCTCAGAACGGAGAGAGCCTTGACTTTCTCAGACTGACGAAACGAACCGTCTCCCTGCTGTTTCAGGTGTTCGAAGTTTAGTGGGACACTTCCCATTTGTTCCCCCAATGCGATGGTGTTGCAGGTGATCACACACTTCCTGGGATCAACCAAAAATTTGTGCATACATTGATCACCCAGAGAAAACGCGGTCGAAAACAGGAAACCGGCCCAACACCGTCGGTCTGCAGTGCACGTCGACCGCAGTGTCCACCTCTGTTCCCGCGGATCGACGTCAAGGAGCTTGGCGACCAAGCTCTCCCGCCTCACCTGGTCAAGGAGGAACTTTTGGCCCAAAAAAAAGCACCAATACAACTTGGTACTTCTATGGTGAGATGTTTTAATACTTTGTTGTTAGGCAAAGTAAACAGCTGATTTGTCAAAATTATAGGTCTTGTGATTGGTATAAGTGACAGTAGGAACGCTGTGCAGCTGTACACCACAGGAGGAATGACTTAAATACAGGAATCGAGTAAAGGCTTGGAATGGAAGTGTGGAGGAGATCCTGTTCTTCTCTGTCCATAACTGAATCAACCAAACATTCCCGCCCCACCCAACTTGAAACTAGAGTGTGCACTTCACATCCATGTTTCCTCCAAAGTAACGAAAGTAATGGTAGACAACGATGAACAATGTCAGGTCAAAAGTCGAAAGGTCAACATGTCAAAACAAAAGAATTCCTAGGGATCCGTTTTCGTACCGAACCTCAGGTTCGGTATGACTGGACTCGAACATGGCACCCACCCCAGTCCCACCTTCTCAGAAGGCCCCTTGGATCTAGGGAATCACAGATCAGGTGCAAAATGCTCCAAAGGTCCCAAAAGAAGTCAACACCAAATCTGCTTCAACGGTCGAAGCTCAAGCGGGATCGACCGGAGCGAACCACGTCGACTGGTACTCGGACTGGGACTGGGGTGTGGGGTGTTGGTGCGTGCGTCTGGAGGGTCCAGTTATACCTGGAAGAAGGAGGTACCTGGATCCTCCAAAATAAAAGTGGGACATGACCCATGGACTGTACCATCTACGACCTGGTACGACTGTATCTTGATGTTCGTTTTCGGTACCGAAGTCGGGTCGGACCCACCAGGATCTGACACGAACACGAACACCTCATCGCACTCATCGACGACTTCACACCGCCTCGTCGCCAACACCACCGCACTCTGCTTGTCGATAGCTGCCGCGAGACACCTGTTGCTCTAAGAGGTCCAAGTCGGCCACGGCCTCGCTCGGCGGCGTCGGCTCGGATCCGGGAAGCCCGCGAGGGAGACCCATGCTGGTACAGACGTTTCCACCTCTAAAACCATGGAGTTTTCCAGTGGTAGTAGCTTCTTGCTACACCATACTTGAGGAACCCTGGTTCCGTACTCGTGGCTGTCTAGGATCCACTGGGCCAACGGGTTTGGATTTGAATCGGAGAGGTCTGACCTCCCTGGCCGTTTTTTTGAATTTCCCAGAGGTTCTCCTATTAAAGACACACCCGGGTCGAGGGTCCAATTTGGCGTTCGTAAATGGCCAGGGTGAATAATGTTGGCATTTGGAACATACCTGGACTCCAAAGTACCTTAGAAAATGGGACATGACTCCATAAAGGCAGGTACATGTACCCATATTCCAAGGTACTTTGAGACTCCAGGTACATATATTTATGTAATATAACATATCTATACATGGGACTCTTCTATAGGGACAGAATATGGTTCATGCTCATGACTCTGCTGTGTGAACATCTGACAGTCGGTACTCCAAGGAAGCAAACACGAGACGGCAAACAAGAAACATACAGTAGTTTGCCGTGAAAAAAGGACCAGTGGCTGGCATTCAAAACGGAAGCACAGCAGTACTTGCTATAATCACTTCCAATAAAGGAATATTAAAGGAATCCATCGTATCCAAAAATAATCAGTCCTTCGAAATGTGGAAATCGGTGGACGTGTCAAATCAGCTTGCTCTGAATTGAACTCCTTGCAAATCAGTTCCGCCAAAGATTCGCAACCCCTCAGCAGTAGAAATAGGACGTTGCTCCATGTATTTGTTATTGTTAGATTTGTTAGGTTAGGTGATTTCAGTTCTGGCTGCCCGTGATTTCAGGAATAATTACAAGGAATACCGTAATTGATTGATTTCGAGAGTTGAATAACATGAGCCTTGAGCAGCGCAGTCTGCTCCCCCCGCATTCTGCCTTCCATTCATGGGCCACCGACAACGGCAAAAGCGTCCCATGCCACACCTCGAAGGGCAAAGCTTCCCAACTGAGCGCACCTGGATCCAACGAGGAAGACGGAAGTCAGTTTGTTGGCCAGTTTGGATCCACGGCCACACTCCTATCGAAGGTGATAGTGTTCGACTCTCTCAATTAATCCCTATAGGGATCCAAGTACCTGCTCAGCAGGTGATGTGTTCGACACCGCTATGTAGGTTTGGAGGGTCCAAGTACCTTCTGAGAAGGTACTTGGATCCCTAGGGAATATATATAGTTATATAAGTTTTGAGGATCCAGTCGTACCCTCTGAGAAGGTGCCAGTGGATCCGTCTTGTGGAAAATTGTTTGTCGATCGAGCTCCGGTGACCAACGCGAAAGCAAGTATGGCAAAGTACAACCCATTCCGTTGATGTCTTTTTCCAGCAGCAAGGGAAACCCTGGACCCACCTGCCCCAGGGATCCAGTCGTACCTTCTCAGGTACGGTGATGTGTGGAGACACCGCGACATGTAGGTGCCGGCCAGTCGGGTCCAGTCGTACCGAACCTGAGGTTCAGCACGACTGGATCCCTACACCTGGACTACTCTTTCCACATTTTCCAGGTGATCCTCGATCCAAGCCACTGAAGCGGAAGTACCCGAAGCCCAGCAGCAGCAAGGAGCCCAATGCGCCCAACACGGGCTCCCGTGTGGCACCTCGAAGTCAGCCCCCCAACCACGAAGCAAAGCGCGGGTGGAAGAGCAATGTTCAAGGCTGAAAGCTGACTGAACTTTGAAGTCTCATTCACCTGGACCCCAAAGTACCTTATAGAACTAACATGGGACAAAGTACCTTATAGAAAAGAAAACCGGTTTCGAGAGCGGATTCAGGTTGGACGTTTGGACGTTTGGAAGACTGTTCTCCACAAGCTCATCGTTTTCAGGTTCGGTCTCGGGACGGTGTCAAAACCAGGTACGACTGAGGTTGGAGTCCCATCCAGTGACCATCACAGTGAGGCCGTGGGGATCAAGGCACCGAACGGAAGAACCAGCGGGGTGAGGCAGTGGTCCGGGGCCGCAGGCGGGGCGGTGAATGGAGGGCACTGCATGAGTCACTGAGTCTTTTTCAAGGGAGACTCTGTTCCACATCTCAAAATATGATTGAATGATTCAGTTGGGTTCAATCCCTATGGCTGATACTCCGGACTGGAATATTTACCTTAATTGGGGGTCATAGCTCATATATTGGGTATAGCTAGGGCATATCCCGACAAACACTTCCCATTACCAGTAACAGTGGATGTTGATGCTGGTTTTGCTTCTTGAAGTCCGACATCTCCAAGAATCGTGATATCTGATCACCGACGGCTATACTTTGGGCCTGACTTCCTCGACCGACTGTCTGGTGTCCGGTGTCGGCTGTCCAGATGGTCTGGTGCTAGGGGCTGAACCTCTAGTGGTTTGGTAACAACTCCCTTTCTATATAGCTTTGGAAGTCGAACCACCATTCCTTTAATAGCCTGAATCCCGAACAAAAACCATTGATCGAAACTCGGACAGTCAAGTTTTGGTCTCAGCGAGGTGATTTCAGCATCTTCCAACTGATGTCCTTCTCTGCAATGTTCCGCTGATGGTCTGCTGAAGGATATATATCACAAAATCCCAGAAGAGTTTTAAGAACTGCGGTTCATGATATCTCTCCTTCATTCTGAGTAAGAATACCCGTCGATCCTCACAGGCGAAAAACACTGCAGGCGAATCTAGAAATAGATCTCAGGACCAGTGAACCTCCATTTGAAACCTCTATCAAATGGTGAAGATTGGTGAAGTGTCCGGGCATCAAACAACGGCACCTTTGAACCTTTCTCCACACTGATATCAATCAAACAACTCGAGTGGCAGTGGCAGGCTGATTTTTCCGGTGACTTCTGGTTGATTCCCCCAAAAATGACCCCACTAAAAGGAAAACAACAAACTAAAATAAACCCAGGGCATCCAGTGTAGCTGGTAACCAGTGGTGCCAGTTCGACTAACACCAGTTCGACCGAACGAATCCCTGGTTCCTTATATATAGTGGTTTGCCTGGGATCCACTGGGGAAACATCAACGCAGCATAAACGTTGAGACTTGCTCAACCTCCCGGTGTGCGGCCGAGTGACTTGCACGACTCAGCAAGCCTACCATGAGGAGGATGTAAACCAACAAACCTGCGGTGGTTCGTGACTGTAGCCCCACTGGGGCGATGAAAAAAACCATCTCCAAATGATGAGACCGAGCTTCCTACCGAGTCACCACGGTGCAGTCGTACCGAGACGTCTCAAGTCTCGTACCTTTCAGAAATGGGTATAGGACTTCGTACCTGATTTTGAAGATCCATTTTCTAAGGTGGAGGGACATGTAACACCAACCTCCTGGGTCCTCCCACGACTTGAGTCCTATATTCTTTGAGCTGATGTGAAATCCGCCATTGGCGTGAAAGCCAAAAAGCTGCTAGGAACAAGGACGCTATTAGTAGGTCTTTGCGGTCTTTAAGCTTTCTAGTAACTAGAAGCTACTAGGTGGAGGCCCTTACTACTATAGGAACAAGGACGCTATGCTCGGTGGAGGCCATCGCTGTAGGTTTGAGGCCATCGCGAATCGCTAGATCGAGCTCCTGACCCTATGGCCCTATTTTCAAGCAGGGGTCGAGGTACATGTCACAGGTCGACTCCATCCGTATATCCCAGACGCGACCAGTCTGGGACTGCCATAGGACTGCCGATCAGGCCAGGGGTGGTGCCAGGGGAGTCAATGGGGTGGCAGTCCTATGGCAGTCCCATGGAGTGTATTGACCTTTATTTCACCGTACCTGGAGTCGACCCGGAACTCGTACCTCGGAGTCAATGGGGCCCAAACGTCGTACCTGATTTGAGTTCGGGTCACAATCCCCTTTTCTCAGGTGCCGTAAGGAAGGTCTAGGTACACGCAATACCCAGACACGACTAATGGGACTGGAATATATGCCGCCCCATTGAACCCCCAAACCACATGGAGTACCGTAAAGGAGGATCGGAGATACATGCAGTGTCACTGCTCTTCCCTCGCTCATCGCTCTAATCCGATCGTCGGAGAGCGGGCGATCGTCGGAGGGCTCTCCTAGGAAGAGATGCCGAAGGCTCTTCACCCAAAAAGCGCCACCCATGTCCTCAGCACCGTTCGGACAGCACCGTTGGGTGTTAAACATCTCAACAAGTTCTCGTCTTCCCCGTGTATGTGTGAGTCATGGGATGTGACTGTGTGGCTGTGACTGTGTGTGTGTTCAGTTCTGTGTGTTAATTGTTTCTCTTTGACCAGACTGGAGGGAGGATCAGTATGGTATTTTCTTTGCAAGGGACTCCGAAGTTCAGGACTCGCATGTGGACGTACCCGGCACGGGTGCCTGCCGTCCTTCGTAGCGAAAACGGGACATGACCCCATGTAAGAACAACATACACAAGCGCACAGGTACGACTGTACCATCTTGTACCATCTCGTGCCGATTTTCCACGGTTCGAGCTGAGACTCGAGGTAGATGGATGGTGTCTGCTGTCTGGTTCTACAACCCATAGTTACGATCTGCTCCCTAAGCCTAGTCGTCGACACGAAACTTCAAGGTGGATTCGACGCGAAAACAACGCTAGTAACGCTGTGCCGACGAGGGTCTGGTTTCTTGGTCTCTGCAAAGATCACCAGGAAGCCTGATCAAGCTGATTTCTTGCCATCTCAAGAACACAATCATGAGCAATCATTAACTATGATGGTAATGAGTTGGAGTTGTGCCAAGGTGGCAGTTTTGTAGGACTCTTTCGCAACAAACCCCGTCGTCCGAGCGGCCGTAGGTGTAGCGACCCACAGCAAAGTAGAGCCAAGCGATCAGAAGGATCACCTTCTTGAGATTTTTGGGGACGAACGACGAAGTGCTCAGCAGTCGACAACTACGAAGATGACTTCAATCAGTCTTGGAAAAGCATGCCTGCACCCTCCAACTACCTAGAAAAATTGGTACAGTATACAGTATAATTACAAGATATTACAAGATATGTGTCTTCAAAGGGTCCTGAGTCAGTCATGTCACATGTTCATACATATTCTAGGATATAATATTCAAATACTTTTGAGGGTCAGGTCTATAGAATTCATCCTAGTGGCAAATCAACCAATACCAATCATAAGGTTGTTAAAATGTCAAACCGTTCATGTCTGCAACGCTCCTCCAAGGATTGTTAGCATAATGATAGCATCATATCATTCATACCCGTTGCAAGAAAAAGGTAGACTCTTGGTTATATCTTGGTTGTATTTTAACCAACCATATGAACAGGTCCTACATTGTTTTACAATCCGTGTTTGGGGTTGTTTATGAATCAAAATTCTACATGTTAAGGACGGAAGCGGTCGCCTTTCAGAAGTGGATAGAACACTTGCTTTGGCCGCCTTGGCCTGCTCTCGGAACTGTTGAACTGGGCATCACTTCTAGATACGTACTAAAATATCGGGGTTTCAAGTGAAGTTCACCAAACCTTGATTGAAGTATTCCGGCACACCGTTTTGTTTCTTTACCACCAGCAAATCGCATCTGCACATCAACCGTGGGCTGAGTGAGATGTGTTTCTTGCTTTATCACCGTTTTTTTTGCAAACAACAAAATCGTACCACTCCCTTATTTTTACGGCCAGGCGCAGGGCAGCAGCTGGCGAAAACCGTGCACACCACCAGGTGCAATGCCACCTTCGCCATTCCTCGGGTTTTCATTGTGCAATCGGTACGTTCCTTTTCCAAAGTTATTGAAAACACATCTGTTTGAAAATTCTCATTTCATGTATGAAGACTTGTGTCTTGTGCATCACCGTGCATCGTTGAGAACACCTGAAAGCGAAAACAAACTAACCAGCAGTCGAACCCATTACGTTTCGCGCGCATCGGCTTCTGCCGTCGTTTCACGTCAATGCAAGTCATTGGACATCCAACATCTGCAAGCGTCGCGCTCCCATACCATCACTGTCCTGGCCGTTTGGGCGTGCTCTCCCCGTGTGTCAACCAGTGTCTGTCTTTCATGGTCGCCACTTTTCCTATATACGTTCTGCCCTTGGACGGAGAACGCTTTGTTGATTTTCCACCAAAAAGGACTGGGGATCAGGGTGAACTGCAAATCAAAAGATAGTGCAGCTAGATGATTTTTCCTCACCTGTCATATGCAGGTCTTTAGGTTTTATGTCAGTGCTTCGGTTTACCTGCCGCCTTCCTCCAACTGCCTTCCCACTGTCCCGTCATCCATCCTGCCGTTCTTCCCCCCTCCTTCTCGTCTGCCGGAGTTCTGTCGCCGCGGGTTGCACAGTCTGCGCACGCTGGACCTTTATAACCAGTGCGCTGAACCTCTACGCGTTCGGGCTGCACATCGGTGTTCGCCTTGTAAGAACTTAAAGAAATATCTACAAAACTTAATGCGTAAGTTCAACTCGTGTCAAGCATTGTCAAACGAATCTCAAAAGAAACGTCCGAATATGGGGCAAAGCAAATGGACATCAGAACGAATGTTGGAGCATATGTCCGGTTACACGCGGGAACAAATGGCAGATTTGATGGCAGAACTCGCCAGCAAACAGTTCACCTAGCGGGGCTCTTCGTCCGAAAGCAATGCCCTTGAGGCTTCAACCCCTTGCCAAGCTCGCTTGATCATGGTAGGCCACGCGGGGCACACGGCACAACATAACGAGCTTTTGAAACCCTACAAGTCTCCTTGCTCAGAATCAGCTTGCGAAGTGTTGCTCAGCAAAAAAAGGGCCAGTCACTGTGCCACACCAGCAAAGGTCAAACTGAGGGCATAATCACTTAGGTTGCCCATGGTATCCAGGCCTCCTCCCCGACGGAATGACGCTCGGATTGTTTGAGCGGACTTGAGCAGTGCGTGGCCCTACGTATACAATATACATTCACTCGAAGGAGTTGATCCCGTCTACTGTGGTTCACAATGAACAACCACACCATGTCGTGGCTGGGGGAGTGACCCAGAGCTTGTTATCTACGAATGCCGTGATGCCATTCACTCAAAGTCTGAAAGCTTCAATACACCTCGCTCTCGGCGCCGCGTCGACCTGACATTTTCCGGGTTGAGGCATGCCGGCATGCCTGCATGGCTTCAAAGACCGAATCATTTGGTCAATGGCACTGTCTCCTCGTTGGTGGGCTTTCAAAACATGACAACGGCCCTGCTTCGTGATGAAGGACTGGCCCAAACTGAATCCAAACTGGATGCTGAGCTTCCAAGCTGGTCCAAACTGGTGCTGCCCGGCGAAGTGGGGCTTTGGCAGCGCCGACCTCCATCTCCTTCTTCTACTTCAAAGATGCCACAGCCAACAGAGGGAGGATACTGCCGGCCCGGACCATTGTGTATGTACACCATGAAGGACGCATCGAGAGAAAGGCTTTGCAACATCGAGCAGCCGTCCATCTTCAGGAGGTCTGCTTCGGCTGAGTACCTGTCTCCCATGACCCGAGCCAGACAACAAAAAAGACATTCGAACCCCTCCGCCTCTAGGAGCATCAAGTGACCATGTGAAAACAAACTTTCGCAGTCGGCCCTAAGCGCAGGGGAGTCTGGGCGCCACATTGCGCCGCATGCGTTGTGAACAGTGGCGCTGAATGAGGAGTGGCTTGAAGTGGTTCATGAAGTGGCTCACGGAAGACTTGGTTCGGTCGAAGTAAAAGTTCGCGCAACGTTGCCAATTTCAATGAAGGCCATGTCACTGGCTACAGCGGGCATGTGTATAGTATCCGCTGAGGGCGGACAGCTCCCACTACATGCGCCGGCACTTGAATGACAGCAGTGCCAGGTCTCTACACATAGTCATCGGGAGGCCCCACAGGACCCTATTGGGGCAAAACGGCATGTCAATGGAGTGGGCGCGTTTCTTGTGGAGCTGGAGTCCTTGATATAGTTGTCACGCGCGTCTTCTGGCAAGAGTCACAACGGCCGCATGCGCAGATCCTTGGACTGCTTGCCTTGACCATGTTGAAACGCACATGTCAGAACCCAAGTCGGACCTATGTTACAACACGTTGCAGAACATTGCAGAACACATGCCAACTCATGTGAGACCACGTGTCAGAACCTATGTCAGAAGTACATGCCAGAAGATATGTCAAAACACAGGTCAGACTTGACGGCACGACGCATGTCAGAACTGCCGCAAAGGATGTCAGAACACATGCCAAAGCATCTCCTAGCCTTTCTGCTAGATGATGTGTCAGAACACATTCCACATTTGATGCTAGACCACTGTGTCAGCGCACAATGCCAGGATAGTCTGTCAATATGTTGCCTTTTTCTAAGTCGCCTCTTAGGAGGGGGATCACTCAAAGCAAGCGCAATGGTTGCAGAGTAGATGGCACAAGTCCAAGGATGTCTTTTAGATGGGGCTCTATATAAACCACCGAACTTGGGGATTGTGAGATCTACCCTGAACCCACTGTATTTGTTGCCCACAACAGTCTCCCAGCTCTGAAGAAGTCGACATACGAGCGACCTACGGCCGTTTCGACTTGGGCCTACCTGTGGCATCAAGCGGCCAGGTGGCGTGTTTCAATTTAAAGACTTTGAAGACACCTCTACTCCTCTACTCTCAGAACATGCGACAAAACATGTCAGAACTCTCCAAATCCACAGCCCCTCTGATCCCCTCTGTGGTATCCACTCTCCTCCGCACTTCCACCTCTCCCATCTCCGCACCCACAGCGCTCCTGGTCTTCAGGCTCGCTGAGCTGCCGTGCCTCGTCCTCCTCGACGTTTCGGCTCCGGTAGAAGACGTACTTCGCCTCGTGTGGAGACCGGTGAGGAGACCGGTGAGGATTGGGAAGACTTGTAACCCGAAGTTGTTGTACTTGTAAAGCTGTATTTGTAAATGTAACCCAAAGCTGTATTTCAAAACCCAAAGCACGATTTGTAAATGTTGTATTGTATTGTTGTAGTGCTTACAGATGTCTACGGTGCAAGCTGTTGTATTGTTGTACTACGTTGTACATTGTTGTACTGTTTACAGATGTCTATTTGTAAATGTTGTATTGTTGTACTGGTACACCCCACAAGCTGTTGGCTTGCCCTTGTGGCGCTTCTGAATGGCGCCCCTATGGCTTCATTCCCTGGTTGTCTTTGCGGTATCTGGTGTAAGCTTCAAACCTGTAAATCTTGCATGCAAAAGGATGCAGTCAATCTGACTGGCTGAAAGTCTGCCACTCCTTCAGCCAGTGCAAACTAGGTATACGCGCCATAGATGGCCGCGTGTTTTTGTGCATATACATGATTCCTTTCGCACTACAAGTATAATCAACATATGTAGTCAGTCTTTCAAGACTGCAATTATAGGAAACAAGCCTTGACATATGTCTCGATGTTCAGCTGATCCCACTCGTTGGGGTCCGCGATCCCTATAGCATCCTATAGCCGTCCTTGGCGTCGATGACACAACCACTTCGCGGCACAACCCGAAAGCCCGGTGTCGTTTTTGTCGGTGCAACCACGGGACCAAATTCACGGTTCGCAGAAGATCAAAGACCTGTCAGTCAGAGCGATCCGCTCAGTCGGAGAAGCGAGCATCTCGATGTGGGACACGTGCTTTGGGATATGGCTCTGGGTCGTGCACCAGGCGGCCGATTTCAAGGGCACGACCGACCTGGTGTCATTCCTCGTTCGCGAGCTACATGGTGGACTGGTGGGGCTTCAGGGTGTGACCGTGACCCATCCCCATATACAGTGGATGATGATGGGGCCTGGTTGCAGGCCTTTCTCAAAAACAGTAATATGATTTTAGTGACTCTGACTCTTACTGGCAAGGGGACACACCCTAGGCGTGCAATCAGAGATGATCCATGGCAGTGGGTCAAGACCAGATAACCCTTGTTGACCAGACCATTTTCCTACACAGCTAGGTGGTTTTGCACTTCCATGTTAGTGAGTCAAAGGGACCAAGAAGCTACGTTCGTAACAAAGGGCATCGCTACGAACGGAGCGTTCGGACGCTACGAACTTGGCGTTCCGACACCGAAGCGGTCTAGGACGGCACGGACACCTCCGTGAACGGGTTGCCCCGGGTTTTCGAGGCGGTGAAAGGATCAACGGCTCATGGTCAGAGTCGAAGTCGGAGACGGCCATGGGTCACCTGGAGTCGACCCTGGAGTCGACCCTGGCCAGTCAAACGTCCACATGTGGCCGCTGCCATGGTCTCCGTTGCGTGGTGCTTGAAGTTGGGTCATCCAGGTAGAAGATACAAGAAGATATATTCATATATATATATATATGCACTGGGATGATTCCAACCACCATTCATCTAATAGCCTTTACCAGGCAATCACCGTTTTACTGAGGATTCTTTTTTACCAAACCAAGTCAACCATTCCTTTAATCCTCTTTTAATGGTCTTTGAAGGCTATAGGGTACATTATAGAAGTCTATCCTAGTACCAGGGCCCAGTGGATGATGGGGCCTGGTTGCAGGCCGACAGTTCAAAAATAGTGATGACTATAACCTTTTACTGACGGTGACTTTTACTTGTAATGGGATGCTCAAAAATAGTGATGTTCTTATTTACTGACGGCTCTATAATACTATAGGGCAAACACAATATACATAGTTGTATAATACCCATGGAGGGACTGGCATATATGATTACATTGACCCCCCAAAACCACCCCAACTGATCGGCATATATGACATACATGGAGTGTCTGGGATATATATATATATATAGATTATACATAATATATATAGTTATAGATATATATTGTGAATTTGTATGCATTGGAACATGCATATCATGATATGAGATGGCGGCCCTCTCATGTGACCATTTTGGCACAAGGGCCCTTGAGTCTGGCTCATCCGAGCCCCCGACGGTTGCGCAATGGAAAAGTGAGCGTACCGCTTGCTTTTGATCGTGACGGAGTTCTTTGATCCCCGTTGGTTGAGTTGTGACAGTTGCCTTTACAAGTTGCTGTTGATCCTCCGCTCACCATTTTACATGGTAGCGGAGCTGCCAAGCTCCAGGATTGCTTTGTGAGGTCCCGGCCTGATCCCGGGTGCGGTGCAAACCGCAGAGCAGCTCGTGCCATCTAGGTGCATTGCTTGTGCAGTGGTGCAAGGTTGAGTTGACGTTGATTGTTGAGCATTGAGCATTGATTGTTGGTTGTGGAACATTGTTGTTTGTTGTTGGCAGTTTGAGCCATGGACTACAAAGACACTCTCAAAGACCTCTACTTCGATGGGAAGCCAAGCGGATATCGTGAGTTCAGACGCAAGCTGATCCTTGGTGTTGCATCCCTTGAGGACAAGCAACAACACCTGGCCGGTCCTCGAGTCCTCGGAAGATTGTCTGGCGAAGCTTGGAAAGCGACCGAAAACATTCCAATTGCTGACCTTCGATGTGAACAAGGCTGGCTGCAAATTGTTCGGACGCTTGATCAGCATTACCGTTATTTGCCCGAGACCGAGCTCCACGAGGCCATAGATGAGTTCCTTTTTGGGTTGAAGCGGAAAGGACATGAGGGAGCCACTTCCTTCACATCCCGGTTCAAGACAAGTCTGCATCGCCTGGAAACGCTCATCTCACAGGAGCGTCAGCTGTCGAAGAAGCAACCGAAGTCCGCAGTCGAAGAAGAAAAGAAAAAGGAAGATTCGAGTAGTCTGGAAGAGTCGGACGAACATGCCCTACCTCCAGACGATCCCAATGAACAAACTGATGAAACTGAACAAGAAGCTGGAGATGAAGTCCGGCCAGAAGCCAAGGCCAGAGCAGCACCTCCTCCAGGTCCTTTTGATCCTCCCCTTGATCCTCATCGTCGGACCGGATCCACTCCATCGGTCCGAAGTGCGAAGTCGAGCTCAAAGGCTTCACAGGGGAAGTCCACTGGGACTCAGAAAGGTGACCAGCGAAAAGATCATCTCCGTATGCAACGTCTTCTTGGAACGTTGGAGCAGTCGCATACAAAGCCAAAACCGATTTTTCCACAGTCAGTTTTGGGACACTTGTTCATGAGAAAGTTTGGTTTGTCGCGTGAGCAACGCAGCCACATCATTCGTTCAACAGGCGGCTCCAGTCGATTTGTTGACATTGAGAAGATTTTGCGTGCTAGTGACTATGAGGAGAGATTGGATGACCGGCGACCACGGCTGGACGATCGTCGACAGGTGAGACCACGACGCGAAGCCTATGCTGTTGAACAAGTTGCTGAAGCTTCATCCACCTCCGTCGACCCACTTTCTGACTCCGGGTCTGGTGAAGAGGCCTACCAAGTTGAGGGTGGCGAAACATCTCTGGGTTCAGGTTCTGAGGAAGAGCTGCAGGAGATCTATGAGATTCAGAAGAAAGCAAAGAAAGAATTCAAGAAACAGTTTCGCACCTACAAGGAGTCAAAGAAGAAGGTGAGGGAAATCAAAAGAGCACGACAACCATACATGCCGGTGGTGGCCATTCCACCCACCGAAGGCGGCCAGTCCCAGGCTCCACTGGGAACTCAGGCTGCATCGTCCAGAACACCACGCTATGAGAAAAGGTCCTTTGACAAGAAGTCACCACAAAAGGACCCAAAGAAGAAACCACCGAGGCGTGAGGACGCCAACCTGACAGAAGCTGTGGAAATTGTTGACAGGACATTGACCGAGTTCAACTATGCCCTGACCGAGTCCACCGCTGCTGAACTGGAAATTCTCCTGGCCTCAATTCCATCGGGTTTTGCAATCATTGATACTGGTTGTACAACATCCGTTGTTGGCGAGGAAACAGCACAGAGATATCAGCAGGTTTTCAGACAATGCAATTTTCCTCCACCCGTGCGTGTCACAGTGCCTACAGTTGAGCTTCGTGGCTTTAATGGTCAGAGCGAAACAACAGCTGTTGGTTTGAAGTGGACAGTACAGCTGGGTTCGTTGAAAGGGAATATCACAACATATGTTGTTCCTGGAAGCGCGCCATTCCTGCTGTCACGAAGGGTGTTGGAGGGTATGCAGGCCACACTGGACTTGGGCCGAATGACCATCACGAGTCCAAAACATGGTATGCAAGATGTACCCCTGAAACAGGCCGCAAATGGCCATCTGCTGTTGTCTCTGGTGCCACAGGTTGCTGAGTGGGAGACAGTCCTCAACGACTCGAATACAAATGAGCCCAATCCGCATGAAGCCCAAGCGATGGACCGCCAGTCCATCTCCGTTGATCTCGAGCACCACCAAGAACTCAGAGGACAGGACACGAACAAAAACAGTGTTTTAAGTGCACCAAAAATGGAGCCAACCCCGTGTGATACTCGGAGGGCGTTTCAAACTGTGTGTAAACATACCAAACGAGGAAACGTCGATTGCAGTGCTTTTTGTGCCGAGCTGTCCCAATTGTTTTCATGTCCCGAACACCCGGTGGTGCATGCCTATGTAGCATATAAACCTAGACTAGAAAGGATTCCTGCCGAAGCCGAACGAACTTCACTTGATATGAATGTAGTCTCTAGGGATAAAGATGGAAACATGCTCATGTCAGGATGGATCGTTCGTCCAGCCGGACGGGTCAGAAGACCTGTCAACCCAATGCAGGTTGCGATCTTTGCATTTCGATCCGAGCAAGCACCCTCTGAACCTGAGAGTGCCGGCAGTGAGTCCGATCGTGTCGAACCAGCAGAGCCGACGCCATCAGCGCACCAATGTGATTGTTGTTGTAATGATGACATAGAAGGGGATTGGGAATACACCATGCAATCAAACACCCTCGAAACTTTGTATGAAGAGGTTGACTGGGTAGATCTTGACTTGCAGGATGTTCCAAAAGAAACCCAAACGAAACTGAAAGACGCAATCACAGCTGCACGCCGTGTCGGTGTAAGCATGGCTTTGTCGCGACTGCAGAGCAATCGGCAGGAAGTGCTTTCAGAACTTCGCCACTGGTTGGGCAACCAGGCTAGTAAACTTGACTCCAAGGTTGGACTCATAGAAGTTTTCACAGGAACAGCCAATTTGTCCAAACAGTACGAAAAGAGAAACCAGAAAACAGCAATCCAAATTGGGATAGATTATGGACATGATCTTGGTAGGTTGAGGGATAGACGAAATCTCCTATACCTGGTAGCCTTGACAAAGCCTGATCACATTTGGTTTGCTCCCCCATGTAAGTGCTGGGGTCCCTGGTCGAGGTTCAATATGGCATTTTCCGAGTCTAGGAAACAAGAAGTATTGAAAAAGAGACATCAAGCTAGAAGACATATGCAATGTGTTTCGGAAACATGGCATCTCCAAACCATCCTTGGAGGTCATGTACATGCTGAGAATCCGCACTTGTCCGATATGTGGCAGGAGTTAGTGCTTGGACCAGCCTGGTCAATCCGAATTGACCAATGTGCACTCGGGCTCCGTAGCCCCAAATCCAACATCCCTGTCTTGAAGCCAACTCGGATTGTCAGCACTCAGGAGTCTTTGATGCAGCACCTTGTCCCATTTCGGTGCGACCATAAGCATGGTCATGATCATCTAGAAGGAAACTACAAAGGTAGAAATCTGACATCCTGGGCCGAGACATAT